CCAATTTCTGGGCACAGATGCTGTACTACACAATCACAGCAATGTTTTTGAGCAAGAAGTACAACTACTAACAAAGACTACACTACCAGGTAAACTCTGAAAGATTGACTTTGAGATAAATCTTCAAACTTTCCAGCCAGAATGTTAGGGAGGAAAACTTCCCACCTGAAAACCAAAGGATACTTTCCAGAATCGTCAGAAGAAAGAATTCTGGGCATAAACACCAGACTACACTAGTTAGTTGGCTCTAGGGAAGAGACTTATGGTTCAAGATTCACACTATATCACCCAGTCACCTTTGGGAAGAAAACTAGCCAGATGAAGGAATATACTCCCTAGACTCTCTGGGGAGAGTTTCTGCAACACACACAAGACTACATTACTGGGATCAGCAATTAGAATAATGGCTATGTGGCTGGACTCGTATGTAGTCAACCATGGTTCGAGTCCAAGACCCGGTGGCTTAAACTCATGCGTGTGCATGCACGCCCAAGATCCCAAAAGGAGAATGGAGAAGGGATTGCAGCGTGGCCATCCCCCTGATTTCTCGCTTTCTGTCTGTCTCTCTCTCTCTCCATCTTTCTGGTGAGCGCATGTGTCCTATAGCAAAAATCTTTTTTTTTTTTTTTTTTAAAAAAGGCTACATTAACCAGATTCGTTTGGGAGGAAATCTTTTTTTGTACAGCTAAGTTTACATAACAGAGAAACCTAGGGGGAAAATATAGCCACTAGAAGGGGTTGGGAAATGACTATGCCACACTGGGGGGTCGGTCATTTCTCCCTCTCCCCACCCATGTCTCTCTCTGGTAAGCACATGAGACTCCCAGAAAATGTAAACAAATAAAAATTAGGAATAAAAGATTTACACTGCTCACAAAGCTCCCTGGGTGGAAAAGTATGCAGGATAGTTTGGTTAGGTGGGGAGACAGCAACAGTGGGATCTTCTCACATTGCTGCAGAGCCTCCTCCTCAAGCCTCCTGGATAGGTGACCTGAGCAGCTGCATATAGCCCTCTGCCCACAAGGGCCCTGCATTTAGTTTAGTGCTATGTTGTCTCTATGTTGACATTCTTAATAAGGGTCTACTTGAATCTGTCCTTTAAAGTGAAGTCCAGTGAGAGTAGGCTGTGCACTGAGCATCACTGAAGTGGGCGTTATGCTGATCCATTTGCATGGGCGATTTGATGCCTGCCATGATTTACTTGTGGTTATTGTGATTTGCACTGAACAACTACACACCGCAGGTCCACCGGAATTCTGGGTCATTCCACATTAACATGTGACATCTTAGGAAGGGGAGCAAGGGCACCAACAGTCCTGAGAGAACTTGCTTTCCATTGGGAATTAGAATTTGCTTTGAACTTATAAAGATGAGCATCCCCAACCCTGCTAAAGACTTTCCAACCCTTACTATGCTGGCAAACCACTTTGCCAAAAGTATGGCATGGAAGGAGAAAGTAAGGCAGTCCTCCATTACCTATTCACTCATTTTCCTGTTCATCAGTCACCTGAAGTTCCAGTATGCCAATAAAAAGTGTATGTGTCAAGAAGTGAAATTTTAAAAATCAAAGTTACTTTTCTGCAGTTTCTACTGTGTTAGTAAAATTTTTTTTTAAATATAAGAAAGTGGGAATTGTGCAGTTTCAGTGATCCTACATGAGTTAATACTCATATATTTAAAACTGGCAATACATAACATAAAGGAGGGAGCTTGTGCACTGCAGGAGGCACATGGTGAGGATGGCATTGCCATGGGCCAGGAAAAACATCCAGATCATCTGCTTGTCATGGTGTGCTGGGAACAGACTGTGTTCAATTTCAGCTAGTTTCCATTACAGGGATGGCATGGTCTAGGAGATATGTCTTCAAGCCAAGGACATCATGGCGATCTTGAACTACTTTGAAATGGTACAAGGACCAAGATGTGACTAGGATCAAGAGACTCCTTAAGACCTGTCCTTCAAAATTAGAATGACATTTCATCAGATGGCACATTTGTCAGCATAACCAACCTTATAAAGATTAAAATTCAAGAGAAGAGGAAAATCATCTTGACTCATGTGTTGCATTCTTTATTTTTGTTGCTGTTGTTTTGCTATAGGGCATGTACACTCACCAGAGAGAGATGGGGAAGGGAGGGAAGAGTAAGAAATCATACCCAAGGGGGATGGTCACACCACAATCCCTTCTCCTCCAATCTCTTCTTGGGATTTTGAGCATGCACACACATGAGCAGGGTGTGATTTTCAAGCTGCCAGGTCCAGGACTCAAGCCTTGCAGTTGACCATGTGGGACCTAGCTCCTTAACCTCTATGCCACCTGCTGCCCCTGTATTTTTAATTTTAAAAGAGGCTCTTGTATAGTCATATTTTAACATTGCAGTCAGTTATATTCTGATACCAGTAATTTCTTAACCTTTGTGACTTTTTCAAAATTACTGTGAAAGCTTTTAATGTAACTGAACGCATTTTAATTGCCTTCTATTTTTTAAATTCCAAAGCCATTAGATGGGCTTTACTGTTCTTGCTATTGTATGGTATGTACCCCTGTCCACATATTTCTATTCTCAACCAAAGTTTTTTAGAAAACAATACAAGACTTTGGGCAGGGAGATGGGAAGGGAGGATATTTAAATAAAAATTACTTACAAAGGAGTTACCTATAAACTTGAATTCCAAAGTATGGTTTTAGCTATCTACACTATAAAGAGCTTTTGATTTAGATTATTCGCACTTTTTTTTTTTTAAGAGAAAATTTTGCTATAGGGCACATGCGCTTGCTGGAGAGACACAGAGACAGAAAAAGAAATCACCTGCCAGGGGGATAGCCATATCACAATCCCTTCTCCTCTTGGTTGGGATTTTGGACACACACATACATGTACCTGGCATGAATTTTAAGCTGTCAGGTCCAGTACTTAAACCACAGTCGACTATGTGGGAGTCCAGTGATGTAACTATTATGCCATCTGCTGCTCCCTACTTGTGCTTCTTAATCCTGAAAAAGAAAAGATCTTGCAAAAGTTAAATTTAAGAACTTTTCACTTTTTAAATATTTAATTATGTGGACTTATTTCAGGAAACCATTCTTGCTGATTCTTGTGGCCAAGGTAGTCCAGCAGCATTATTATGTCACAGTTATATATCACAGAGTTGTTCACAGAGAGTCTAGTCAGTGGCCTCTGAGGGCCACTATTAAGAGTGTGAGTCCTCGGTTTCATGGCTGTATGGGTGCTGCAAATGCATCTGTACAGTGTAGTAGGATTCAATGAGTTCAGCATATGGAAGTTCTGAAAGAGTAACACTAAGCTTTTACCCATAGATACTTCTGGGTTTGATTTATGATTAGTGAGAGTAAAGAGGAATTTTCACTTTGTACCTCTGGAGTTTTACTTTTCCTTCTTCAATATTAATGCACTAAAACTAGGTCAATTAAGTTCCTGCTTTTGCTTCTACATGTAAAGAGCTTAGGAGTCATTGCTCTCACCTTCCCAACAAGAAAACAGCTGAACAAACTGAGTATCAACATCTCAGATTCTTTTGAGACAGCATAAAATTCAGATTTGGCAAACTGTAACCCCCAAAATTGGAGAAATAGATGAATCAAGAGAAGCATAGCTAGGGAAACAAAGGGCACTGGGGTGAGCCAGTGTTAAGTGGCTGGATGAAGCCAGGAGCTGGCACATTTCAACAGTCAACTGACAGGAGTCTGAGTGTGCATTAGTTCAGAGATTATAAACTCCTGGGGGTACCCATCATGCTTCCAAGAGGTTGACTTTTAGGAACTCCACCAGGTTTTCAAGGTGGAGAGCTGAGGAAATCCCTCTCTACTTCGAAGGTATGAGAAAATTGACCATTTAAAAATACCCACAAGGGAAAAGTTATCATTTTGGAAAATGCCCAGAGGATTCTGTTCTATATAACAGTGGCCTGTGCTCAAAGCCTTTGTTTACTTAAAGTAAAAATAACTAGACAGCTGCAGTTTTTTGTTTGTTTTTTAGCCTTTCTATCTCACAAAAGTGCTGGGTAAAGAGGCAAAGAAACTCTTACAAGGGTCAGTCCAAAGACCCAGGCCCACTAAAACAGTATACTTAATCTTAGAATTATAAAACACCCTCACACCCTAGCCCACCTCTTAACCCTAATCCATAAATCCAAAACCCTAACCCTCTAAATCTACACCCTAAACAACTCTAAGCCCTAAACCAGATCTGGTTACATTACGTCAATTTACTTCTGGATAGAGCCCAAATCCTAGCAACCCGACATATGCTTCCCCATCACTAATGATATGTGTCAGGACGATATTTCAAAAAGATATTTTTAAGTAGATTTTATTCTCCATGAGAGACAGACAGGTGCACAGCCCACCCACAAGAAAGCTTCTCGCGACCTGGACTCGGAACCGGGCGTCGCGTACAGGGAGACCCGGCCTGTCCAGAGGAGCCAGCGCCTGGAACGCGCGCGGTCTCCCTGCCGCGCCACTTCTTTCAGCGCGCTCATTTCCTGGGGCCCTAAAGCCACCGCGGCCGACGTGACAGCGCAGGGGCCACCGCGCCCACCGTCCTCGCAGGCTGGGCTGGGTCCCCGCCCAGGCCCCGACGTGCGTAACTGCCCACGTCCCCGTGTCGCTGTCCCCTGGGCAGTAGCAGAGGGACGTTCTTGCGGACTCACGTCAGCCGCCTGGCAGGGAGCTCTGGGCGCCGGTCACCGCGGACCGGAAACCGAGACGCGAAGGGCGGGCGGACGCGGGAGAGCGCCTTCCCCCGCTCCCTCAGGCGGCCTCCGGCCACACGTCGAGCCCTCCCCTCCACCGCGCTCCCAGCGCCCACTTCCGTCTTTCGGCGGACTCCACGCGCGGGGCTCCCAGTGCCCTCTCAACTTCCGGCCCGGCGCCTGGCCTCCGGTTTGACGCCCTTCTTTCGCCGTGTAGCTGGAGCCCGGCTCCCGCCTTACTTCCGGCACGGAGCCCGCCTTCCGCCTCGCGTTACTTCCGGTTCGGCGCCCGCCCTCCACTGCTAGTTAGGAGCTCGCCGTTCCGGCGCTCGACTCCCGCTTTCCGGGTTCTCAGCGCCCCGCGGGCCGCTGTGTGCCCCATGGCGGCTGGGGCTGGGCCAGTGGAGCTGGGCTTCGAGGAGGAGGCG